GGCTGTCAAATTTCGACCCGTGAGACTATTACGAGAGACTCGAGAGATGATCACCTTAAGCAAGCTATGAAAAAATTTTGTAGGTCTTTGTAGAAATGAAAATCTAGAGGATCTTTCTAGGAAGAAAATCTTAAGAGTAACTGATTTTCGGAAGGAAATCTTGGAAAGTGGATTTCAAAATAAAGTCTCAGTAATGTAACAAAAGACGCATTGAAGACAAAAAAAAAAAAAAAAATATTAATACATGAAAGTTTTTGAAACGTTTAGTCATCAATAAATTATTTAAATATCTTATTATGAAATTTATATTATAAAAATAAATTATAAATGTGAAAAAAATTATATATAATTATAATTAATTATAAAAAATTAAATATGTAATAATATTTGAGTAAAAAACATTCTCTAGGAAATTATAATATATTACTTTTAAATTGTAAATCAAATGCTAAGCCATATTTAAGAATTGGGTCATTTTTTGTTATAAAAATTATATATGATAATTTTGGTGTAAACATAGTTCATATTTTAAAAGTAATGAAAATTTATCTTAAAATTTTTATAGTTTTGAATTGCGTTTCAGTTTACTGTAAAATATATATTTATTCATCATTTAAATTTTATATTATAAAAAGATATTTAAACAAAGGGAATTCATTTTTAAACTTTAGTGATACAGCTTCTTAAATTCTGTGATAGAAACTATTTTTTCCTTATTTCACCGTTATTTTATGTTCATATTATGTTTGGTTTTAAGAGTGAAATTAATTGTATTATTTTTTAACATGATATGAAGGACGTTAAGATAACTAATGGTTTTGTTGTTCATTTAAATACTCAATGTGAATGTCTCTTATTAACATTTTATTAACTCTACAATATCAGAAATGATATACTAAATATATACTATATATATATATATATATATATCTCGTTTAGATCACCGCAGTCAAGCATCATTGGGCGCGGTCAGTACTTGGGTGGGTGACCACCTGGGAACACCGCGTGCCGTTGGCAAATTTGGGACCTGAATGGCTGAGTGTCTAGCGCTCTGACACTCGGTGCCACAGGTTTCGGGTTCGAGTCCCGGCGGTGCCATGGATGTTTGTAGTGGTTCGGAATCCACTTTAAGCCGTAGGTCCCGGTCTCCTATGACTGTAAGAGCGTTACGGAGCAAAAGTCAGGCTTCTACCTACGGGTGCTCCATCACAACAGAAGCTGCTTCCTTCCCCTTCAATCATGAGCACGTATGGGCTCGTGGGCTTGGCCAGCCAAGTGGGATAAGAAACAACAACATATATATATATATATATATATATATATAGCATATAACTTTTTTAACGTTTTATTCCAGAAAAACATAGTAACTCGAAAATATTGAATTTTTTAAAAATATTTATTTATTGCTTTATATATAATATATATTCAATTATTAAACATTCTAACATTTTGCGTCAAACATAAAAATGAATGTAAACAGAGACATTGCATGAAACATTGCAGGAACGTCTTTTTATAGCATTCATCTAACAATTTATTGAAATTTTACATAAAACAAGATACTAAAAATAATCGGTTCACATGAAATAAACAAAAAGTTTTACAATTTTTAAGGGTGTCGGTTAGACATTGTTTCCAATTTTGAAGTAAATCTACAATTCATCTTAAAAATTTTGTTCAAGGTAATCGTTAATCTTCATAAATGATTTCTCGTTAGCGTGTCAATGATAATATCGAAGACTTCTTTTTCTTCGAGATATAGAAAAAGTTCGAGATATACCTTGCTGTATTTGAATATCGGACAAGAACAACTTACTATCATCTTTGTAAAAGTTTCTTCTTTTTCCGTATCATACTCCACTTCTTCTTTTCCGTTCGCTCTATATTTTAACAAATTTTTATAAATCTTGTAATTACTGGTTTATCTTTTTACTCTCGGGTAAATCGTTCTTCAAAATACTTCTTCATTTTATTATCTAAGACAGTTAATTAGTCAACTAACTGTGCGACTTTCTGATATTAAAAGGAATTTTATAAGGTACTCCATCGATCAAGGAAGTAATTATTGAAATCATAACTAGTAATATCATTGATAGAAATATCCCCTTATTGAACCAATACCTTTCTCTTTTTTATAGAATTTTTTTTAAAAGGTCTAATTGATTCTTTCGTGTTTTAAAGAAGTATATTTCCTTGAACATTACACTCAAAGTATATTCAGACATAGATTTAATAACAATGGTAATTTTTAAGAATATAATTTTGGTTAACACTTTAAAATTGATAGAGAGGACAGGCAAACATTGTAGAATCGAACAGAAAATCCTCTTAAGAATGTTAATTTACATAGTTTCTAAAAACGTGGAGAATATTTAAGTTTATAGATAGCCCAATGGTGAAAATTTCTTTCATGTTTAGAAATACATAATAAATTTGACGCAGTAAATCGTTTACTTTCAGACTTTCAATGTCATCTAAATTAAAAATACACCTTCTTCTTCGTCATTGGCGCAACAATCCCATGGTGAGCCAAGGTCGTCTGCCTAGTATCAGATTTCGAGGACAGGCAATATTTTCTATTTTTTACGTGGTAGAGCTGTCAGCCCTACTCCCTACAGTCATATTATTCAGAAACCTACGGTTTAAAGTGGATTACGAATCATTACAAACATCCATGACACCATCGAACCCGAAACCTCTGGCACCGAGTACCACCAGGCACTCGATCATCAGGCTCCAAGAAATTACCTACACGTTAAAAAAAATTAAACTTTTTTTTTTCTTCTCCAATACTTTTACATAAATATAAGGAAACATTTTCGTGATAAACGTCAAAAAACAGTGTAAATTATCATAGGGTAATTCATTATCGTCCCATTTTATTTCATGTAGGTGTTTAGTTACCCATAAATAATTTTGTTTCTTTCGTGGTTCCAAAAGTTAAGTAAAAGGTGGGAGGTTTAAAAGGAAGGTTACCTCCCACAGAAAGATTCGTCTTGAACAGCACACCCTGCCAACCCTTTAATAATTAAACAAAAGAAAACTTAAGTCCTTCTCAATGCAAGACAGCATCAGCCCTGACTTTAAAAGTTGAGATGTTAAAAATTGTTGATATACATAATATTTGAAAAAAATTGTTGATGCATATAACATTTGAAAAAAGTTGCTGATACACATACTATTCAATCGCAGTGAATAGCTCGTGTCTGGTTTTAAATCAATTAAAATATAACGAAATGATTTTGAAATGGCATCGTCGTACACTTCTCGAAAAAATTTAGCTTGAGTTGATAAAGTTGTCTACAGTTGTATACTATGACATATAGTATGATTTGCGATCGATCTCTAGGATTTTTTCAATAAAAACAATGCCTTTATTTATATGTGATCGCAGTTCTTTTCTTTCGTGAAAAATATTTTTTTTAAATTTACCTTCGATAATTTCACCATTTAAATTCTTAAGCTTGTAAACAATTGGTGGTCTACGAAGATGATGATGGATCCAAAATATTTCTACAGACCAATAGTTTTTGTAATTTTTTCCAAGACATATGGTTTTTAAATATTTAAAAAAAATTAAATGTTCAATACTTCAAAATCAATGAACTATTTACTGTCTTTCCACTTACTTGTACGAACGTTGTCGTTTAATTTGAATGAGAATTATTTTATTTATTTTTTAATTATATCATTCTACAAATTTTTCCACAAATATATTTGATTGCCAATGTTTACAGCAAATGGTTGCATTTTACTTTTTCGATACCATGTATAATTATAGCTAAATAATAATTTTTCAATCACCTATATATATGTTTGAGTGTTATACTCTGTAAAATACTTTGCAAGAGCTCAACGATACTATTTCTATACTAGTATTCGAATCTTTAGTTACCAACTATCTTTAGTTTTAATTTGCTTTCCTGTAGATCTATGTAAAGCATTTATGCCTCCAAAATTTGCTGATTAATTAGGATTCTTATAATATTAGTTAAGTATAAGTATACCCCAATTTAAAGTAATTATTTAAATGACGCACAATTACTGCAATAAAATGTTATGTAAGAAAACAAAGATTACGGAAACATTTTCTTTATTGAAGAACATGAATTTCAAGAATTTTGTACATTCAATGAAGGGAAAAAAATGTTTGTTGCAAAGCACCAAGAAAGGTAAAATATAAGACCAAAGTTTATAATTTATCAATTTGAATAAAAGTAAAAAGTGTATTATCATATATGCACATAAATTCTAAAATAATTTTTTTTTGTAGAAGCTTGGTCTTGGATGCCTTAAGGCAAGCGCTGCACAGACATTGCCCACTTAACACTACCCAAGAGGTGCGTGTAACTTGAAGATATATACACGGAGTAGCATGCCCCCCCGCAACGCTCTAGATCCTATTAGGACCGGGACCTACGGTTTAAAGTGGATTCCGAACCACTACAAACATCCATGGCACCGCCGGGACTCGAACCCGAAACCTGTTGTACCGAGAGCCAGAGCGCTAGCCACTCGGGCCATCCAGGCACTTTCTAATAAAAGGTTATATACAAGATTCTTAGTTGATCTCGAAAAAAACTCTCTGTGAATCTGTCTATAATGAAAAAAGTTTTGTTCGCGCAAATTAAAGACAAGTTTATATATATATATATATATATATATATTAACGTAGTGCTGTCGTCGTTTGTACAAATGGATTGTGAAAGGGTGGGATTGGGTTGAGATTTGAGACACGAGTTTGAGAACACACAGCTTCATTTACATGAGCACAAACACTACATACACATAAAATAATTATCACATTTAAAAACATATAATTATAGATTCGTGGTAGGATTCCACTTCTAAGACGAAAATAAAGTTATTCAGGTACACGCTGAATCCCGCAATATACTTCCTATCTGGATGAGAGATTATAAAATAAACGCTTCTCAACAAAAGCGCGTGATTCGTTTCTCAGCGGCAGCGCCAGTTGCGTTGTACATCTTGCCAGTACACAGGAGGAAGCACGGTTACTTTAGTTAGCATGAAATGATGATTAGTTTTCAACACAATTCTAACACTTTTAACAATTAATAACAATCAACTTAAGTTACTAAATATAATACCTTTATTAGAACATTATTTTGATAATAATCAATTTACGTATGAATAATTTAAAAGAAATGGACTTACCGTTAGAATAAGCAGATAACTAACTCTAACTCGAAGTCGGTATAAATTAAAGAAGTAAGTTCAGAGAAATTTGATTAAAAGAAACCTCACCCGAACAATATACATAAGAACTTTTTAAATTTTAGTAAAGTACTCAATGTACAAAAATAAAATAACAGAATGTCTATAAGTTTAGTAATAGTGTATTTAGATTCTATAGTCTATAAGTTTAGTAATAGTGTATTTAGATTCTATAGTCTATAAGTTTAGTAATAGTGTATTTACTTTCTATAGTCTATAAGTTTAGTAATAGTTTATTTAAAGTCTCGCCAGTTTTTTTCCTATGGGGAAAATAAACTGGCAAAAATGATAGAAATGGAAGATCAAATATAACAGCGACAGCAACAAAAAACGGAGACTTCATTCCACCAATCACATTGCGCAAATGATTGACTAATTTACTAGGATTTTAATATACTATCCTTTAGATCTATTTATTATTAATTTTTATTTGTAATACTATTTTATTACATAACTTTTCCAAGATTTTCAACTTTTCTCTTAATTTGATCTACTATACAGCCAGTTTTGACTAGGAAAGAGCAACAAAAGAGACAAAGGAGACTACAAAGGAGCTATGGGGATTAATTTTCCTTGCACTCCTACAACTGGCAAATTCTCTGTCTGGATAGAGGCTAGAGAGATCCCCAGGATGCAGCAATGTTTGAAAAAAGGATAAATATTCGCCAAGTGTCATATTCAATGTTCTTTTGACGCATTTGGAAATAGTTTATTGTTATAAATAAAGTATTGCATTGTAGGTGAGTCATTTTAATAAATGTATGTTATTGAATTT